GCTGATTGTCCTGATTCCTGGTTTGATTTTACTCATGATTGGTAGCTAACTTTGCATTAATGGATATTGATAATTCTATTTGCAGATCAAACCCGGATTCAGTGGCAATTGTTGCAGCATGAAACTAGATTAACTCAGAGACAAGCTTATTCATCTGGCACTTTACAGAACATAAAAGCTCATTGGAAGGCTTACTTATCTTTTTGCAATTTTTTTCAATTTGAATAGTGTACCTATTAATCCACAAGATTTAGCCTGTTTTATTTGTTTTATGTCAAGATAATGTTATTCTTTCCAATATTTATCATCAGTCGTTAGTAGTGTTAAATTATTACATCAGTGCTATGGTTTCGATATAGAACCAACACAATTTTTGCAAATCAAGTCCATACTTAATGGACTACGTCGATCAGTTTGTATTGCACCCATTCAGAAGTTACCTGTTACACCAACTATCCTATTAGAAATTTATTCTGTATTAGATTTATCCAAGCCTTTTTATATGGTCTGTTGGACTTTGTTTTTAGTCGCTTTTTTCTCCTTTTTACGTAAGTCCAATCTCATTCCAGACACACTTAAGCATGCGAAAGAGAGCACAGCACATTTTCTGCGTAGAGAAGCCATAATTTTATTGTCGGAAGCAGCCTTATTAATCATTCGTTCTTCCAAAACCGACAATTTCCAGGAACAACAAGTTATTGTGCCACTTAGTGCCATGCCCAATAATATTTTATGCCCAGTTTCTGCTTTACATGTGATGTTTTCTCAAATTTCTGCTGAGTTTGATTCCCCTGTATTTGTTTATCCTAGTGGTACTGGATCCTTGCTCCCTTTAACTTATAATATTACTTTGAAAGTTTTTAAGTTATTGCTTAAGAGACTGGGTTATAACCCAGCTTTATATTCATTGCATAGCTTTAGACGGGGTGGTTGTACTTATGCTCATTCAATTGGAGTCGATTTGGAATCTATTCGCATTCATGGCAATTGGCGTTCTAATGCTTACCAACAGTACATAGAACCTGATTTGCAGCAGCAATTACAAGTTACCTCCCTTATGCTTAAAATGTGTTGTTAAATTGTTATATGTTGTCAGCTAACAATTTTTTCAAGAGTCAAAGTTATTAATCTTTATTTTTTCACATCATTACAAGTGGTTTGGGGTTTGTTTGGCCTTTTTTCTAATATCTTAACATATAAAATATAATTTGTCTTAGTATGGAAGTTAACATACAATTCATGTAGTTATTACATTGCAATAAATTATTTGCCCCAAACCACTTGTCTTTATTACAACATCTCAATTATTATATGGTATATCTATATGCTACATTATTTGTCAGATGACGACTTTAGAGTAATTGTGTTATTTTATTATTTCATTTCATAAGATAATTAATTACCAAATGTGGAGAAATCCGCTCTCCTGCGTTGGAGTTCATTTTAGTTTGAATGGCGCCGCAGCAAAACGTGTTCCCCACCCACCCACCACTCATATTACTTAGTTTTTAAGACTATCTTTATAATGAATTGTTTTTGTGTAAGCTTATGCTTTGTTTTGTTAATGGCCTTTTTTTTTCTTTTTTTTTTTCTAATATCTTAACATATAAAATATAATTTGTCTTAGTATGGAAGTTAACATACAATTCATTTAGTTATTACATTGCAATAAATTATTTGCCCCAAACCACTTGTCTTTATTACAACATCTCAATTATTATATGGTATATCTATATGCTACATTATTTGTCAGATGACGACTTTAGAGTAATTAAATGTGAAATCATTTCGACTGAGACAAATCTCTAAGAGCTGTAGAATTGTATCGTCGGGTCTGTTTGGATCTGGGTTTCTATTAAAAGCTTTACTAAACCAGTAGTGTTATCGATATTGGTATACAAAGAAGAAACGTCGATATAAATTAAAATAGCATTAGAAGGAACTCGAAGATTTTGTATTTTATTGACAAAATCGATTGTGTCTTTAAGGTAGGCGCGAGGTAGTAAGAAATGATCATTGTATTCCGAATTAGTTGAAGCCTTTCGAATATGTAGGAGATATATTTCTCTACAATTTGGTGTGTATTAGTTTTCTTACACCTTCAAAAAAGCATAACGAACTTTTAAAGTTTACGTAATCTTACGTAATGATTTTAAATAGTTTTGGCGTTAAAAAATTAAAGGCTGGATTTTTGTAATTAAAACTTTCAGATACGTTAAAGGACACATATATCTTGATTTTGGTGTATATTTTTCACGAAAAAAATTTTCGACTAACAAAAATGCGCAATGTTCCTTTACAGGAAAATACCCATTTTTTCAAACATATTTTCATAAGTTAATAACGCTTTTTGGCTCTTGATCATATCCTTTAAGTCAAGCAGATTAATTTATTCCATGTCAAATGTGGTTTAAATGAATAAAGTTCCATGTCGAACCATGATTTTCAAAAACACGACAATGAAGATCATTTTGGAATCTCAAAGGTTTCTAACATGAACAAAAAAGCTCTTTGGCTTTTTGGGAGTTTTTTACTGTTCACTCTGTCCCAGCCAACGAAGTACTATTCTTGCACTTGCCCCATCAGTGATGGAAAATCAAGCCCTTTTTTAACACTTGTAGACAAAAGTTCACAATTGGCACAGAAGCGCTCCTCAAATATTATGATTTTAGATATTCAAAATGTTATAAAAACAGTGTTGAATCATATTTACTTTCCCGTTTTTAAAAGGTGAACATACGCAGATAAGTTGTGATATCATCCATTCATTCTTATACATTCCTATTCCTAATTCTTAAAAATTGTATTGACGTTCTGTGGGAATCAGCCAAATAGCGTATTTATGGAGCTGAATTCATTTCAAGATGCCAATTACCAAACATTCTATTAGTTGACTCGTGTCTCGAACTACATTTGTAGATTATGAATTTGTTTCTGTCGTAGTATATCCAATAGTATCAGTTGTCTTGTTCTTTACCATCATGAATGTCATTGTAAACTTCCAAATTATTTTTTTTTCGAAGTCTTTTTTCACGTTGCCATCAACAACCGAACTGAAAATGAAGAATCCATCTATAAGCAGATTTTAGAATTAGTAAACCTCGACAAAACTAAATTTTCATCCGCTACTAGTTTGAACACATAGATACCAATTTCTAAGATTAAGTAAAACTGTAGTTAATCTCAGTAACCAAAAACTTTCTCCCTTGGAAAACCAACTTTATATCGCGGCCTTACTTTCATTCCTACGTCGAAACCTAATTCAAATTAACCAATTTTGTAATCAGTAATAGAAATTTCTAGAATTTTTAAGCGGAATTACTTTTTTCGCGGAAAACGTACCAAATTTATTGTA